GGCGTAGCAGCTTCTGAATAGAGTTATTCGCTGCTTCGTACAGGTAGACTGTCGTGCACTATTTGTTGATTTTCGTAGGCGGGTCATAGTGCACTAACTAATCTCCTGCCTTAGGTCGTAGGAGATTACACTTATCGTATTCTTCACGTATTTTGTTGTGGTATTTGATCTCATGTAGTATATCCTCCACTGCTATAGATAGGTAGGTAGATGTCTTCCTTTTCGTACTGAAATTGACTTTAGGATACTGCATTTACTGAAGTCTTTATGCATCTACCCATCAGTGGTATGTGGCACATACATCTGTCTTCGTAGAGAGATCGTATGTGTTGCAGATCTTTATTGATATATTTTCTTGCATTGAATCATTGCTGACGATATGAGTACTAGTGCATTTTCCTTGTATTCATTCGCCTTGCATTTCTATTGCTTGTTTGTGTTATGATGAGCATCACAAATCCTTTAATGTCTTTAGGGATAAATTATGACTTGCATAATGAATTTTCATCCTCAAAATTCATTTGCAATCTAGGTTTCACTTGCTTGTTTGAATGATGATATCAACTCTCATTGCACTTGTCATAACCTTTATATTTGACACAATTATCCCAAATCAATGATTTGATTGAGTCTTCATTATCATCTGTATCATGATGCCGGTTGCAAGGCGTTATTACAAACATCATTGATCTTCTCATGTGTATTGAACAGTGGGCCATTACATTCGTCACATATCAAAATTTTAGTTCTTGCAAGATATCCGTCACACCAATTTTATGCCACTTTATTTGTGAAACAAGTGTTGTGCATCTTATGAATTTTCTTGCACCACTATGCTTGTATTCATTACAACTCTTCCACCATCATTTGCAAATATATTGCATTTCTTACATGTGACCACTTGGTTAATTATAATGATCATTGAGAGCGTCATGATGTTCTTTATAATTTCATCATTATTTGTAAATGGATGAAGCTTATAATCCCTTGGTTCACAAGTCTCATATATCTTCCCTTGCATTTGATTTGGAATTTGCTATCTTACAAATGATAATTTCATTTGGAGAATTATATCATTCTTAATATGTTTCAATCTGCAATTTTTTATATTCATTATCATTTTTTATTCGAATTCAAATTTGATTTAGGCTCAATCTTATGTTCAATTTATTGTCCAAATCAAGTCCCCTGCTGTCCAAAAATGAGTCAACTGTTGTCCAAATAATGTCCAAGTCCTTGTCTTTTTCAGACAAAATTTCGGCAGCCTCCTAGCGTCTCCCCCGTTTAGGAGAAAAACCAAGAGGCCGCCTACCTGCCACGTCAACAAAGGCGTGCACGGTTGGTGTTTGTGAGACACTGCGGCGGTGATATTTTTTTTTTCTTTCACCACGCCACCAAAGGCGTGCATGGGATTTTAAAAAGCATTTTTGAAAAAGCAGTTTGATTTCGCCTCGCTCGGGGGTACTTATGAGCGACCCCGCCTAGCCGTAGGTGCCGCACCGGGGTCCCATCCCACCATGCACACCAAAGGCGTGCTTGGGGCGGTTTTCCGGTTCGCCGCGAACATTGAAACATAGTTTTTGGTGATTGTCCGCCTCGTCGTAGGTGCCGCACCGGGGTCCTATCCCACCACGCGCACCAAAGGCGTGCTTGGGGCAGTTTTTCGGTCCGCCGCAAACAACGAAAATGGGAATCTGAGTTTTAGAAATATTCGTACCTTCGCGGGGTTGGTGAAGTCGTCGAGATGCACAAAGTACAACAAATTTCCCTTCTCTTTTTTCTTTTCTTCTTTTTTCATTCCCATTCACCATCATTTCTTTAGAAATCTTTTTTTTTTTTCATAAATAAATATATACACCTCCTCTTCTTCTTTTAACTTAATAGGCAGCAAAAGACATCAGTAATATTGAGATATAGTAATAAAAAAGGGATTTAAATTAATATAATGACGTCAGTACTGATAAATAATAAAAGAGTAATAGTCTTAACAATAAACCTCCTCTTCTCTTTTGCTGGAAGCTTTGCCTGAGTAAAAGAAAACAATTGCTTTTGTGACTTAAGATATAGTGGCCCCCTCCCTTTTTTGTCTTGTTTTGAAAAGTGAGGGTTGTTGTATTGGATGCAGGAGCTCACGTGAAAGTGTAAGAAAAGAAATCGAAAAGAAAAAAGGTAAGGTGTGTAGAATTTAAAATGGAGAATTTCTGAA